TCCTAGCAGACATGCACCAGCGTATCTGCTTAGGATAACATCTTACCTTACTAGGATGACATAAAAACTAGCCTCCTCTTCTCCCTGCTCAGACAGGACGATTTGCTAACAAAGACTTTGTGGATGGTTCGGGTCCTGAGGCAGCTCCTGTGTCATGAGCGCACTGGACCCCCAATGAGGCAGTGGCTCCAGAATATCCCTCAGCCCCACATTTGCAGAGAAAACTGAAGGGGTTCCTGAGATCGCCCACTGTCTTTTGTCATTTTTTTCACTGAGCAGATCCTAAAGTTTGTGTCTTAGCCTGGGTACCTGGCAGACAGAGAGAATGACAGGACAGGATCTCTGCTCCCCAGGAAGTCCCAGGCCAGTGGGAGAAACAGACCTGGAAGTACAAGGTTACAATTGATGATGTGGGGAGGACATAGTGACATTACAAGGTGAGTGCTATGCTCTGGCTTTCTTTCATAAAGTGTTATAGATTGGGTGCCGGTTTCACTGTTTACAAACATGAACCCACTGATGATAGTATGATATAGTTCCTAAGATGGTCCTATTTTTACAGCGAGGAACTCAGAGATCGGGTACAGCCAACAAGCTACAGAGCCAATGATCTGAGCCCAGGACTCATTTCCCAAGATGATCAGATAAGAAAACCCACATTACACAACTCTACTCTGGTTAGCCAATGTGACAGACAGAGTCCTGAGTCCCACTTGTTTCCCATGGTAACATTGCCTTGGGATGCCACAACAGCAGCAAAGACTGATCTAGCTCAAGCCGGTCCAGTGATGGCTTTCTGGAGTGGGACATTCCTGACATGGAGATACAGTACTCTGACAGAGGCAACAGTCAGTGACAACATAAAAACGTCAGCAACCTGACATAGGTGAGAGTTGTGCTCAATGGGCCTGGATGTGATGTCAAGATGAGTGACGGGATGAGGTAAACCAGTGGCCAGATAAGTCCTTGGAACATCTGACAGCCATGGGCATTATAGAATTATTTTAAGAATGAAGTAGTGTCATCCAATGGCTTGGAGGGAGGCCAGATCATTAGGTGGACTAATTAGGAGATGATTACAATAATAAGGCAATAAATCTCAACTAGACACTGGCTGTTGGGATAAAGAAGGAAAAAATTGCATTTGAGAGACACTCATGGATACAGATGTCTGGGTGCTTTATTTATTAGCCCAAGACATCCCACCATCTGAAGATAAAGCACAAGCTTTCTAGGAGACAGACAAGACCTGTTCCATCTGAACCCAGTCCCCTTTCAGCAGGTGCTAACCTTGAAGAAGATACACAGGTTCCCCAGGCTACCAGTCTACTCGCCACATTCACAGGCTACGGTCCTAGATCTCCTGGGGTTCCTGTTACTAAATACTCATTTGACACACACTCACTGACTTCAATATCTGCTGAGGGCTGGGACTATATAGCTCAGTTGGTACAATGCTTGCCTAGTATTAATGAAGCCCTAGGTTTGATACCCAATACTGTATAAATTGGGCTTGGTGGTGTACACTGGAATCCCAGACCTTGGGTGGTGGAAATAGAAGGATCAGAAGTTCAAAGTTATTTTCAGCTACACAGGGGGTCTAAGGACAGCCTGAGCTACATGAGACTCCATTTCAAAAGAATGAACAAACAAAAATCTACTGAACACCCTTCTAATTATTATTCCCTAGGTCTGAAGTGCTTCTTGGTACACGAGAACACAGTGGTCTTCCAATATGGCTCCTTGATAGCTTCTGTTGCATGCCCCCTCCTTACTCCTATGGACTGACTCCTCACCCATGCTTCTCAGACTTTGTCATGCGGACAAGCCAGCTAGGAATAGCGCTAATAACACAGATCCTGAGATGACGGCTGTGGGTAGGGCCCAAGATTTTACACTTCTCAGAAGACTCCAGCAGACAGCATTAGAAGGCAAACTCATAGATTTCTCAGAATCATCTGATGAAAAAGCAATGAAAACTTGATTTTTAAATTCTCTATGCAGAAAAGTTACATATAGTAAAATGCACAGACTCTAAATCTACAATTTGATGGATTTTGGAAAACATATGCACCCCTTGCTGGGTGGTGGTAGCACACATCTTTAATCCCAACACTTGGGAGGCAGAGGCAGGCATGTCTCTGTGAGTTTGAGGCCAGCCTGGTCTACAGAGTGAGATCCAGGGTTCTAGGACAGCCAGGGCTACACAGAGAAATTCTATCTCAAATATATATATCCCTTATGGACTCAATAAAGAATGTCAATATTTCTAGAAAGTTTGTAAATGGAGCTCTAATTGGTCTAAATAATTAAAAAACAGAGTCGGTTGTAGAGGAAAATGCTGAGAGATCAGAGACAAGAAGGAACCAGCTAAAGCCACCTTTACCTCATTAGCTTCCCAGCAGAAAAGATAGTGAGTTCATATTTCCTCCAGCCTATATCCTCTCTCCGCCCAGCCATCTTACTTCCTGTCTGTCTGTACAGACCTCCAGACCTCTATGGTTAGCCAGTGGCAAGCTCTACCCTCTGACCTTCAGACAAGCTTTATTTGTACAAGCAAGATACATATGTTGTATATATTATATGTATGTGGTATATATGTGTATATATGTACATATAATACACACAGACACACACAACACACACCCATATGGCTCCAACCTTCATTTCTGTACATACACACACACACACAGCCACCCATACCCATATGGTTCCAGTAAAGGATCTCAATGTTTCTAGAGAGTTTCTGTTCCACCTTCATTTCTGTTGCTGTGACAAAACTCCCTGACACAAGAAAGAATTTAGAGGGCTGGAGAGTTAGCTCGGCAGTGAAGAGCACTTGCTGTTCTTTGCACCCATGACAGAGAGCGCACAACTGCCTGTCATTTTAGCTCCAGGAGATCCATTGCCCTATTCTGGCCTCTGAAGGCACCATCATATATGTGGTATACACACACAGAGAGACACATGTACAAAAATGAAAAATAATTATTTTAAAAGCAACTTCTTTACACTTACAATTTCAGTTTGCAGTCTGTCACAGCAGAGAAGCCATAGCGACAGGGGCTTGCAGCAACTAGTCATCTCACATTTGCATCTAGAGCAAGGGAGACAAAGGCAGCCTTGCTTCTTTGCTTGCTCTCAGTTGACTCTCTCCTCTCTAACACTGATCAAGACCTCCTGCCCAGGGAACGGTACCACCCACAGCGGGCCAGGTCTTCCTACATCAGTTGATCAATGCAGTCCCACAGACATGCCCCTGGGCCAGCCTGATCTAGACAATCCCTCATTAAGACTCTCTTCAAGGGTGACTCTAGGTGTCAAGTTAACAATTAAAACTAGTTTCTGTTCCTCCTTCCATTCAATCCCAACTAAAGAGGGTTCAACCCAAAATGGCATAGTACAAGGAAGTAGTTTCCTGATTCAAGACATTTGTTCTAAGGATGTTGAGTCAGGGTTCTCTAGAGGAGCAGAACTGATAGGATTAATGTATATGTTCAGATATATATACATATATATATGGTATTTATTAAAGTGACTTACAGGGTGTGGTCCAGTACTCCAATAATGACTATCTATCAATGAAAAGTCCAAGAATCCAGTAATTGTTCAGTCCATGAGGCTGGATATCTCAGTTGGTCTTCAGTATAAACCAGAGGGCATGTGACCTACTTCTTCCTGGCTCCAAATAATGTACACTGGAATCCCAGACCTTGGGTGGTGGAAATAGAAGGATCAGAAGTTAAAAGTTATTTTCAGCTACATAGCTGAAAATAGCTCCCAATAATGTTATCATCTCATGCATTTACCAAGGGATTAGCCTATTTGTTATGTCAGTACCCTCATGATGTCATCACACATGAACCAGAGTAGTAATTTACTAAGAGTCTACATGGTGTGCGTGTGTGTGTGTGTGTGTGTGTGTGTGTGGGTGTGTGTGTGTGTGGGTGTGTGTGTGGTATGCGGGTGTGCTTGCATAGTGTGTGGGGGTGTGCTGATCCTGTGTGTGGAGGCCCAAGGTTGACTTCAGATATATTCTAATTATTAACTAGACTATATATGGGGAAGCAGGTTCTCTCACTTAGACCTGGAGTCCACTGATTCAACCACTCATTTGTCCACCTTGTTCTGGGGACCGCCTGTCTCCGCTGCACTGGTATTGCCGGTGGTCCGCCAACACCACTCAGCATTTGCTGAGTAGGATCCAATCACCAGTCCTCACTTGCATAGCAAGCACTCTACCCACTAAGCCATTTCCCCCTACCTCCTCCTACTTGTGTTTGGTCTGTTCAAGCTGTCTACCAAGATTTACCATCATAGATTACAACATAAGGACTCCGAGAAGACACAAATACTCAGACCACAGCAGGAGCTCAGTTCTGATGTGGATGACAGACAGGGTACACATGGGAGCTCCCTGGGAGAGAGAATTGAGGGACAGCATTCATAGTCAGGCCAGAGAAGAAGAGAGGAGGCATTTTAGTCACTCATCCCCCTGCCTCAGCCTCCTGAGAAACAGGATGAGAAACTATGCCACACTCAGATCCTCCTCTGTTCCTTGGAAACCTTGGCCCTGACAGGTCACATCTTATCTTCCTAACAGGCCTATGGTAAGGCGTGTGCCATGCTTTCTCTTTTATGGCTATGGAAACTGAGATTTGAAGAGGCTCACTTAAAGGCACTCATTGGTCAGGAAGCAATGCCTCTGGCCTCCAGGAAAGCTGTTTCCCATCCCACGGCTCTTGTTGAAACAGCAGAGTCTAGCTAAGTGGCAGGAGTCACAAGTGCTCTCCAGGGATCTGTACTGCACACAGCCTATGAATGAAAGCAGGACCAGGCCACCAGTACTGTCTACAGTCTATTCCTTCCCAGAGGAATCTCAGACCTGAGGCATCTCCTTGCTGAGGAATGATGCTTGCCTCCCTGGGTTGAGATCACCAGAGCTGACCAGCCCTCTCCCCAGGCTACACTAATTGGCACATGTCCTCTGTGTGTTTCAGCCACTTGCTTCCCACTCTGCACCATGAAAATCCTGCTTAGTGATGTTCTGCTGCTCAGCCTGCTCTCCAGCGTATTCAGCAGCTGTCCCAGGGACTGTCTCACCTGCCAGGAGACGCTCCGCCCAGACCCAGACAGCTTCAACTTGAAGGTATGTCCAGAAGGCCAAGGAACTCCCCTCTTCCTTGCCATATCCTCCTTCTGACTCCAAAGCAAATGCTAAATGAGACATTCAAGTCTCTGCCAGAGGTCACAGGACTTGTGCAGTGTCATGTGACCAAGAGGAAGCAGGTGGAGCTGAGCTGCATCTTCCTATGACCCCTGTGGTCCTCCCTCTTTACCACCAGATTCCTGTGGTCCTCCCTCTCTACCACCAGATTCCTGTGGTCCTCCCTCTTTATCTTCCAGTAAATATCTATTCATGATGCCCTTGTCCCAGTGTTACACAAAATACATGTAATATATATATATACATATATGTGTGTGTGTGTGTGTGTGTATCTTCTTCCAACACGTGAACTAATTACCTTACTCTTTGCTGTAACAAAAATCCTTGAATCTTAAGGAAGGGATTGTTTTGGCTGACAGTTTGAGAGCACAGTCTACCGTGGAGGCTACTGTATGGAGGCAAGAACTTCCGGCAGCTGGTCACATGGTGTCCACAGTCAGCAAGCACAGAGAGATGATACACTGTTGCTCACTCATGTCTTCTTTATTCAGCCTTGGACTCCAGCCCAAGGCTGGTGCTACCTACACTCAAGGTGGGGCTGTCTCCTCAGCCCCTCAAGTTGACAATGAAAGTCCAGGAACCAGAGAGAATCTTACTTTTCTTAATTTCTGTAGTGTCATAGGATTAATTTTCTCATGCTATTATATATTATTTCAAGTGACTTCTTTCTATGAATATATAACTTGTTCTCCATTCCCCATCTGCTGAGCATGTATATTGTCATCCATTTTTTATATTGCAGATAATTCTACAATAAGCATCCAAAATGCTCTCTTGTGTTTTAAATTTCCAACTTGAAGCACAAAACATTAAATTATTATTCATTAAATGAACTGCTTTTTTACTCCTTTAATTTCAACTTAGCTATTCTCTCCTATGAAATTCAGCATAATTCAATTATTTTTTTTCCTTTGAAGTCAATAAAGTTGCTTTCAGGGCACCATGCTTCAAAACCCTCAGCCTTTCAAAACAGGCAAGTAATTGCTCTTCCTTAAGGCAAATGTGCAGACATGAAATCCAGCATAGCTGGTGCCCAATACACCTTGCTATCTCTCAGCTCCAGGTGGAAACGTGGCCCCAGCCCCAACAGGCAAACATTACACTCCTCCCAGCCTGGACACACCCGTGTTCTGGGTAGAAAGACACAGTCATGCAATCAGGAAGGACATCCCAGATGACCCATTGAACGGATGTGTTTCTGATGCTCACCTATCCTATTTTCTGCTAGGCATGTCTGCCTGGAGGATATCTCATCCTTTAAGAAACATCTCTTGCACCTCTTGCCTGACTTATGAGTCTCTTCCCTCTCTGTCTGCTCTTTCCAAGTCTTTTATATTGGCTCTGTTCCTCTGCCCAGTCCCTAACAGGGATGGCAAGATGTGTGCTTCTTGAACCTCCAAATCTCTCCCAAGATGCTACCACATACCTTGGCTTCTCTCTCCTAGGGTGCATGTAACTGTCAAAGGGACCCCTGAGCTTGTCTCCCTTGGGCTCAGGCCCAGTCCAAGGCATTCTTTACAGCTCCCAGGAAACCCTGCCTTTCTTTGCTGTCCTGCTACCTTGCACCTGCCTCTCCCTGCCCCTACCCACTAAATCCCACTTACACTTCAAGGCCAAAGTTAAGCTTCACATCATAACAAACACGCTGGCCACTCACAAAGGCAAAGGTCCAAGTGGAGTTTTGATCTGAAAATTCATAGCAGAATCAGAGGTAATGCTAAGCAGCACACAGGAGAGGGAAATAGGGGTCTAGGAGACCCAAACCAAGACAGAAGTTCAGGAGGGTGAGACCAAGGTCAGGACCAGCTAGAAAGAGCTGGAGAGATGACACGGTCAGAGTGACAGTCTCCACTAGACACTGTGCTACTTGGGGGAACAGCAGCAGCAGAGAGTTCCTGGGTCTCTGGGGTCTGGCTCTGGTATGAGAATGAGCCCCCATGGGGTAGATTGCATCTTTAGCCCCACATGCTCAACGGGCCTATATCTGTAGATCCCACAGAGTTACGGATGGCCAGTGTACGTAGCATGAAAATTAACACCACCAGGTTTGTTCTGTCTACAGTGACCTTTATTTCAAATATGCATGCACACTTAACCACCAGTCTGGCCTTGAACTTCATGAGGAAATGAAATAAATTCTTCCTGGGTGATGCTCATGGGTTGTGCTTATTCTGGCTCTTGTGCGCTCGCTCTCTCTCTCTCTCTCTCTCTCTCTCTCTCTCTCTCTCTCTCTCTCTCTCTCTCTCTCTCTCTCTCCCTCCCTCCCTCCCTCTCTCCCTCCCTCCCTCCCTCCCTCCTTCTCTGTCTCTTGCCTTCTCTCCTCTCTCCCTCTTTCCCTCTTTCTCTTTCTCTCCCTCTTTCTCTCTCCCTTCCTCCCCACTCTCTTTCTGACTGAGGTATGAGTTCCTTTGCTGACTCATCTGGGTATCCCAGCATGGGGCCCAGTGTGTAGCCCATAACAGGGCTCAGGCAGCCTGCCCCATGGAAATTGTATGATTCTCGGAACATGAGGCTCCTTGCTGAGCACATCCTGGCCAGCCACTGTAAGGTCTTTCATTTGGGTCTTTCTGGGGTGGTGAAGAATTGTAAGTCTGCTTCTATCTCTCCATTAGCATCTGGAATCTTTGGGGGCCAGACAATACTCACTTTACTTCCCAGAAACAAGTCAGAAAATGGATTGGTAAAAACCTCACAGCTGGAGATAGACGCTTTCCCGCCCCCCTCCCCAGGAACCTGTTGTTTGCTTGTTTTTCTGCTTCTAGCTCCTATTCCTTTTTAACCCATTTTAGGTAGAACAAAATGTCAAGGGCATAAGCAATTATGTCTCATTCTCTGAGGCTGCAAATCTTGCCCATGTCTGCTCTGATGAGGGCAGTGATGGAGGGACTCACACTTCAGCAACGGTCACCTACCAGTCTCTCTGCCAGATTACATAATCCTGACTTGTTCCCAGGATCCTCAGGACACTTGACTCCATCAGAAATTTTTCTATTTTCTACTCCTGGTAGGTGGCCCAAGTATGGTTGGCTTTTTGATAGACTATAATTTTGGTCAGCAAATGACTCACCCAGTGCAGTGTCCTCTGGTTCTTCAACTAATTGTCAGTGGTGCTTAGTCTGTCAGTTCAAGCAGAAGAAACTAAATTCACAGGGCTATTTTAGAGTCCAAGATGAAGACAACACACTCTCAAACAGTTCAGGGAAATGCTTGTAGAAGTCCTGTTGCAACAGAAGTTGCCTCTTGGCATCTCTACCTGCAGGTAGGGAAAATTCTTTGCAAGTGATTTGCAGCAGAAGCTCTTCTAGTGGATTTTTCCTGTGATATTCATCTGCTGCCCTGATAGGGTCTGCCTTTGAACATACATACCTACATACATACATATATACTCAATATTTTATATGCATATATATTGTGGGGGGTATGTACACATGAGTGCAGTTGCCCGTAGAGGTCAAAGAGGTTTTTGAATCCCCTGCAGCTGAAGTTACAGGTGGCTGTGAGCCACCCATAAGTGCTAGGAATTAAAGTTGGGTCATCTATGAGAAATATACTCTTAACCACTGAACCATCTCTCCAGCCTCTGGATTTACTTTTATAAAGTCTACAGTGGTTAGGATTGAACCTAGGGCTCTGTGAATGACCAGGCAGGTGTGTTATGGCTGAGTTACATCCCTAGTCGTGCCTTTGAATGTTTTGGCAAGACCTCCTAGAATAAATAGCTCCTATGCCTCACTCAACCTGAAAGAAGGCATGCAGTGACTGTCTTCATTCCCCTCAAAGGGCCAGTGTGTCTTTTGATAAGCAGTGGGAGGCTAGCACACAGGCCTGACCTCTGTGGCTGGGTTACACACTCAGCCGTACCCTAATCTTTGATCCAGACATCCAAATGGCCCTTCGCTCAGTCTCTTCAGAAGCCCAGCTTTGCAAATCAATTTGGCACCAGTCTAGGACTCCAGATGCTCATGCAGACTCTGGCTTAATATAGCAATGTCATCATCATGGCTGAGAAAATGTGTCCAGCTCACTTAATAAGCCACTAGCCCATCCCTGTGAAGCAGCTGATAAGGACCAGAGGCTTAAGCACTAGGCTCATATGCCCATCTGGCCCTAAAAATGCAGTTGTATATCTAGATACCCCAGATTTCCCTCAAACCTTCTAAACCAACCGTTGTAATGATCCGGTCAGTATCTAATTTATCTGGCAGTGTGTTGAATCTCAGTTAAGACTGTGGCATCTGGTCACAAAATTACATTTTCTCTCACTGACACAAAATCCAATTACCATCTGGAATTAGAAGGCCAGGAGTGCTTGGTTCTGGTGGCCTCTAGATGTGTCTCTTCCACCTGTAAGCCAAAGGAGCAGAAAATACAATGAACATTGAGGGCTCCTTCTCTGTAGAAGGAACCAAGGGTACCCAAAGGCTAAGCTGCTCCCAGCCCCCCCTCCTGGCCTTATCAGTGCTACTGTTCCTCCCTGTGCTCCTGTTGACCCCAGACAATGCTGTTTAAGCAAATCTGCCGTCTTGGACATGAGGAGCTGGACAGCTATTTGTTACTGGCATCTGTTCTGTGTACCAAAGGAATTTTACTAACATCTTCAGCTTCTACATCCCATTAGAAGACACGATAGACTCAGTTGGTTAAGGAATCGCCTTGCAAGAATGAGGACCTGGGGGCTGGAGAGATGGCTCAGAGGTTAAGAGCACTGGAAGCTCTTCCAGAGGTCTTGAGTTCAATCCCCAGCACACACATGGTGGCTCACACGCAACTATGAGATCTGGTGCCCTCTTCTGGCCTGCAGGCAGAACATTGTATACATAATAAATCAATCTAAAGAAAAGAAATAAAATAAAGGTACAGCAAGTGGGGAGAATAAATCTCATGAGAATTAAACTCACCCGCTGGCATCAAAGACCTAAAGGCAACAGGGAGCCAATGAAACAGATTTGGTGAGTTCAGAGCTAGTGTCACAGTTCTAGGGTCTTCTGTCTTTTTATTCTGCCAGAATATTGCCCCATGCTCATTTGGCTTCCAGAACAGGATGCCACCCTCCAAGTCAACTCATGCTTCAGGATGGCTTCAGAAGGACAGCCCAAAATGCCCACATTGTAAACCAGATGCTGAAGGAAAGCCAGGCAGGAAGGAATGGGTTGTCTTTCCTGTCAAGTCAGCTCCAAGTTCATCGCAGGCCCCAACTGGTCATTTTCATTCTTGACAGCCACCTCTGATTACAAGGAGGTAGGGAGAGGCACTATTGCCTTCAGGAAGGAATCTGGCGTTTATGTACTAGTAAGAGAGATGGCTCTGGGTGGGCAATGGACAGCCTCTGTACCACAAGGGGTTCAGGGGAGCCTGGTGAGAGTGCCGGTTTGATGGGGACCCTTGAAACACTCTTCATCACAATGGTAAGGTCAAAGAGAAGGGAGACTTTCATCTAGGTGAGACTGGGAACATGACAAGAGTCAGGGATGAAGCCAAAATGTACATAGTAAGAAACATTGTCAGTAGAGACTTCGAAGAAACCCAGAGACAGGAGGGCAGGGGGATGAGGTCAAGGTCAGGACCAGCCATGGGGTGCTGGTAAGATGGCATGGGCCAGCTGCTGGTCTCCACTAGAGGATGTGGTGCTTGGGGAGGTGGGTCAGCCACAGAGAGTTCCTGGGGCACTGCCTGGCTTGTATCTAAGAAGATGCAAGTCCAGTGGATTGCAGGTTTAGCTCCACATACCCAAGCTGCCTGCATCCAGAGTCTCTTGGACATCACTTGCTATAAATGAGGTACAAATAGGAGTAGCTAGTATAAATAAAATGAAAACTAGTGACCCTAGCGTTGACCTTTACCTAGTGGCTTTAGTTTACTTCCCCATTTATTCATGGATACATGTGTGTAGTGTAAGTGAATGTTTGTGCCCCTGTGTGCATGTATGTGTCTTCCCCTATCCTTCTCCACCTTGTTTCTTGAGACAGTCTCTCTCAGTGCATCCAGAGCTCATCAGCTGATTAGAATGGATAGCTATGGTGCTCCACCCTCTTACCCCTCCCACTAGAGTTATAAACAGTACCACTATGCCCAGCTTTTACATGGGTGCTGGGGATCTGAACTCAGGTCCTCATGCTTGCACAGAAGGCACTTGACCAACCAAGCCATCTCCCCAGCTAAAGAGTGACCTTAAAATATGCCTGCAGATATAATCCCATGCATGCTTCCCCTATTTCTGCAACCAGTCTGTCCTTCCCTGGCCCAAAGGGAGAAATAGAATTCTTCTCCCTGAGTGACACTCATGAGCTATGCTAGGCTCCAAAAGCCTACGAATATAGCAGGCTATAATTTGGAATGCCTCCATTCTGTGTTAACTTGCTGTGTCGTCTGAAGATAAACTAACCACAGCTCTGAACCCTAGTTTCCTTGCTGGTAAAATAATGGAGCAGAGTCAGAGGGTTCTCTGTTTTCAACTCTGAAACTCTGCAAATTTGGGGGGCAGGTAGTTATATGTAGAACTGCTGTACAAAGATTAGGGAGATGGTTCATCAGCTGTCCTGGGTGGTTTTGTCAACTTGGCACAAGCTCAAGTCATCTAAGAGGAAGGGGCTCAATTGAGAAAATGCCTCCATAAGATCAGGCTGTAGGCAAGCCTGTAGGGCATTTTCTTAATTAGTAACTGTTGTGGGAGGGTCCAGCCCCTTATGTGTAGTGCCATCCCTGGGCTGGGGGTCCTGGGTTCTATAAGAAAGCAGGCTGAGCAAGCCTTGAGAAACAAGCCAGTAAGCAGTTCCTCTCCATGGCCTCTGCATCAGTTCCTGTCTCCAAGTTCCTGGCCTGTTTGAGTTCCTGTCCTGACTTCCTTCAATGATGGACTGTGATGTGGACGTGTGAGACAAATAAACCCTTTCCTCTCCAAGTTGCTTTGGTCATAGTGTTTCATCATAGTAATAGGAACCTGAACTAAGACATCGGTAAAGAGCTTCTACACAGGCATGAGGATCTGTGTTTGATTCCCAGCACCCATGTAGAAGGCAGGCATGGAAGCACACACCTCTGATCCCAGTACTAGGGAAGCAGACATGGGAGGATGCTTGGGGCTTGCTGACCAGCCAGTATAGCCCAAATGGCTCAAGTCATCCAGGTCAGTAAGAGATCCTGTCTCAAAAAATAGAGTGGAGGGGCCAGTCAGGTGGCTCAGTGGGTAAAGACGCTTCCACTCAAACCCAGGGACCTGAATTTGACTCCTGGAAGCCACATAAATGTAGAAGGTGGCCACATAGTGTTCTCTGACCGCCGCACTCACACACAACAATAGCATTATTATATTATTATAATAAAAGACAATGAAATTAAAAATTAAATGAAGATACCATAATAGAGGGAGTCATTATAGGTTTGAGAAGAGATCTGGCACTAGTGAGATTTCCAGAGATCTACAAGGATGACACCAACTGGCAATCTAAGCAATAGTGGAGAGGCTACCTTAAATGCCCTTCCCTGATAATGAGTTTGACGACTACCTTATATGACATCCTAGAGCCTCCATCCCATGGCTGATAGAAGCAGAGGCAGACACCCACAGCTAAGCACTGAACTGAACTCCTGGAACCCAGTGGCAGAGAGGGAGGAGTAATGAGCAAAAGGGTCAAGACAGGGCTGGTGAAACCCACAGAAACAGCTGACCTGAACAAGGGGGAACTCTTGGACCCCAGACTGATGGCTGAGAGGCCAGCATGAGACTGATCCAGACCCCCTGAATGTGGGTGTCAGTGAGGAAGCCTAGGCAATCTATGGGGCCTCAGATAGTATTTATCCCTGGCATACAAATGGACTTTGGGTGCCCATCTCACATTAAGGGATGCTCTCTCAGCCTGGACACATGGGGGAGGGCCTAGGCCCTCCCTGGAATGAAATGACAGACTCTGGAGATCTCCCATGAAGGGAGAGTGGAGTGGGGATTGGGGGAGGGGTGCAGGGGGTGCAGGGGAGGAGGGGTGGGAGAGAGAGCTGGGATTGATATGTGAAGCAAGCTTGTTTCTAATTTAAATAAATAATTTTTTAAAATTTAATGGTGATAGAGGAAAATAAGCAATATCGACCTCTGACCTCCACATACGAGTGCATACAGACACGCACCCCCATACATACATAAACTGCTACCCAATGCTTGAGAAATAGCAGCTTAGAAGCACGTGACTTGGAACATAGATGCTTCTATATCTTAGCTGATCCCTGGCTTTGTCCCCTTTTCTCTTCCTCCTGCCCGTGTCTTTGCAGGTGTGCATCCTGCAGTGTGAAGAAAAGGTCTTGCCCCGCCCTCTCTGGACTGCATGCACCAAAGTCATGGCCAATGGCTCTGGGAAGCTCAACCCTGTTGACCCAGAGCTCGTGTCAGCTCCTCTTTACCAGCCAAAAGCCTCGGAGATGCAGCATCTGAAGCGAATGCCCCGGGTCAGGAGCTTGGTGCAAGCTCGAGACACGGAGCCTGGTGCGGATGATGCTGACGAGGCGGAGCAGAAGCAACTGCAGAAGAGGTTTGGGGGCTTCACTGGGGCCCGGAAGTCAGCCAGGAAGTTGGCCAACCAGAAGCGGTTCAGTGAGTTTATGAGGCAGTACCTGGTCCTGAGCATGCAATCAAGCCAGCGCCGGCGCACCCTACACCAGAATGGTAATGTGTAGCCAGAAGGAGCCCCTCCCAGCTGCACCGGCCACTGCAACCCATGAGTGAGTTGGGCACCAACCAGCAGGGGGCAAGAAGTGACCTCATAGACACAACTGTCGCAGGCCTAAAAACATATTAGCCAGCCCCAAACACACACACACCCCACCCAGTCCCTCTCCCTTTTCCCCACACACATCCAAAGACTCCAGGTCTTGGGAGGCTCGGTTGGTAAAGAAATTCACATCTATCCCTCTCACCCATTTCTCCAGGGAGAAAGATTTTTTTCCCACCATTCTCCTTGAGGCTGACCACTCCCATTCAGAGACTGGTTACCATGGGGATAATAGTAGTATGTTAAGATAACTAATTCCTCTGTAGCTCTCCAGGAGCTTAGTTACTATGGGGACAGTTAAGTGGACCAATTCTAACAGTCAGTTACCATAGCAACCATTCGGCTCACCTTTCCTCAGAGACTTTATCTGAACAACAACAACACACACACACAAAAAAACAATAGTCAGCCCTCCTCTTAGCCATTTGCAAAAAGGCTGATTACCACTCTACTTCAAAGACCGCTTACCCATCTCACCCTACATCTCAAGGTGGCTAAACTCCATGGAAACCATTAGTATTTCCCATTTCCCCCTGCCAAAGACTTTCTGTTGGGACCCAGAGTTATGCTTTTTGCTCTCATTTCTTCCATTAACAATTTGGTCAGCCTTGCGCTTTGCCAAAGAAAGACCAGTCGTTTATCATTAACGGCGTCCTTGCTAAATCAGGACTCCTGAATGTGGCCCAATGGAACCAGTAGGTTTTAGAATGTAAACTAAGGAAGACTTGGTCTTTTCCTTCTTCTCAGGTTTCGCGTGTCCCCCCCATGTTTCACCCCACCCTCGGGTACACACTTACACACAGTCATAAAGCCTCAGAAGACACACAGCAAAGACCCAGTTATTGCCAGCTGATTCCGTATCCAACGCTCTCCAGTCATCACCAGTGCACAGCTAGGGAATGGCATTTGGAATTAGCACGGTGGATTTAAGAAAGAATCCAACCATCAAGTCTGTGTCCCTTCATCCATACAAGTCAATGTGAACATAAGCAGAGTCCCACACATGTCCTGAGACAGCTCAGAAACACAGCCTCATATAAAACATGAGTTAGTCTGACCACATAATGCTGTTCCAACAGAGCTATTTCCCATCTCTGATGCAAAAAAAGAAAAATGCACGCATCCTCTCTTTTTGCTTCCCACACATCCAAGGTAGCCGTGTTGTTCACAGTCCTTTTTTGAGATAGATGCATCATTTGCTAATCTTTGGTGCCCTGAACTAGTAACCCACTCGGTTGCAGCAAGCTTATCCCCAAAGATGGACACATTTACTAGGTTGTGGGGAGAAGACCACTGCATTTGTCTCAGTAGAATGGTTCATCTCCAAAGAGCCTGAGTGAACTTGCACTCCATTCTTGACAAGCATGCTATTTCTAAGCCAGACTTGTCTGATATCTAGTAGTAAATCTTCCAGAAGTAGCACAAATTCTTCTGAGTCTTAATGGCATTCTTTACAGCAGCTCTTAAGGGACACCAAAGCCCATATCTAATTCTAAACTACAGCAATATTCTTTCAGTTTAAGATCAGTCCCATTAGCAAGAATCAATTTATTTGAAAAGAAAAAACGATTTGAGCCAGACAATTGACTTCTCTGCTTTTCTATTATACTTCCAGCTGAGAGGCGCTGTAACAGGGCTAATAACTGGTTTCTGTCTGCTGCTCTGCTCAACATGCAAAGTTCTTGATGGAAACATTAGCCAGCTCATTTGGGTATTATTAATGGCTGTCCTGTCACTATGTAACCAGGTCTCTCTCTCTCTCTCTCTCTCTCTCTCTCTCTCTCTCTCTCTCTCTCTCTCTCTCTCTCTCTCTCTCTCTCTCTCTCTCTCTCTCTCTCTCTCTCTCTCTCTCTCTCTCTCTCCCTCTCCCTCTCTCCCTCTCCCTCTCCCTCTCTCTCTCCCTCCCTCCCTCCCTCCCTCTCTCTCTCTCTCTCTCTCTCTCATCTGCACATGCATGGTGGTGACTTCCAGAGTGGATGTGTGTTAATGAGCCAGTTGTAGCCAGCTGAGACCTTGTGCTTATCTGCATACACAACAGTCCAACTTTGCCATGTGCGTGATAAAAATCCTGACGATTCCCATTGGCGTAGTTGTTCCTGGCGTCTAAAATGCCAAGTCAGTCTACACTCAGAAGACTGGAGTTGGGAGAAGGGGCTATCCAACACTGGAGCTGAATAAAGAACCTGATGTGGCCTAGGAAGACAGGGCATTGCAGTGCAGACCCTGCCATGGAGGGTCTGGGAGAAGGGCACAGCAGGTCTTGAGGACAGCCTCTCCTGCTCTGACTATATTTCCAGTACTTTCTGCTGTGTCCAGCCTTGACCTTCTAGACATCAGCAGCACATTCACGGTCCTGTATTCTCAACATGTAGCTTAGAGAGCCTGTGTCACATAGACAACTTTAGGGACACTGTTTTCACATAGATGCTGTGAACCGGGAAGGGGATGGGTGGTACTGGGAAAAGGCTTGTCACTGACCTCTTAAGTCACAGCCCATCAACCTCCCTTTTAGCCAATGCCTCCCTCCTGCCAGTAGTAGGCATAAGCGGCAGGTAAGTGGAGGGCATCTAATAAGGACACCTTCTGGTCACTTGCTGTGGTGGTCCCACTTTGGGTTGCTTTAGTCTTACTCGCTTGGGAAAACAGGACAGATGGCTCAGCAGACCCGTTGGATTTGACGTTTTAATCTTTTCTGTCTCCCCAGGCATCCAGGTGATCCCCAGAGCAGCATGTGTCCACACCCAGACCTGCAGGCCGGGACTCAGGATTCCTTCTTCCCCAAGGCACTGAGTACCCCGGCCCCTCCCTGCCCAGCTGTTGCCCCCTCCCATGGCATGTTTCACCTCAGCCCTGTTGCTACATCAGAGTGTATTTTTGTAATTTCTCCAGCTCACATTTTAATGGCCCCATCTTCTCACTCATCTCCGGCCCTCTTCTGGGACCAGGTGAGAGGAATATGAAATCAGACCTGGGGTTCTGCCTCGTCACTGCCATAACCTGTTTGTATTGACCGATCGTTTGAAACAACTCTCTCCATTAAACTTCTACTGAGCAAATGGTTAATAAACTCGTTGGCTGTTTTTAAGTGACGCGATGAAGCATGGACTCTGCAAACACTGTGAAAGCCACCTCTCCCAGAAGCACAGGCTGGAAACTCACAGACAGTTACGCGGACTATAAGTTTGGCAGAAGATGCTGGCATATGACCACACTGAGGGCCACAGCCAAGGGCACTGTGAAGCCAGATGCAAATGACGGTGTGGCTGTGTAAGCAGGGGATGGGAGGGGAGACAGCAGTTCTCAACCTTTGAGTCCATCCAGCTGCTCTTGGGTCCCAAGCCCAGCTCTGGATCCAGCAGAAACATGTTTTTAAAAGCTACCACGTACAGGGAGGTGGTGGTGCACGCCTTTAATCCCAGCACTCAGGAGGCAGAGGCAGGCGGAACTCTGTGAGTTCAAGGCCAGCCTGGTCTACAACAGCTAGTTCCAGGACAGGCTCCAAAACAATACAAAAAAAACCCTGAAACCCTGTCTCGAAAAAAAAAAAAAAAAACGCTACCAGGTGATACAAAAAGTCTGTTGAGAGCCAGTGGGTTGTAACAGAAGCAAGGGAAGGGCAAACCTGCCCACCTACTCTTTTCTCCATGTAACACTAAACGTGGTAAGGTGTGTGACTGTTGAAGTGCAGCCAGGAAACACATAGAGACCCCAATAGGAAGGACTGACCAGTGTCTACACGGTAGATGGCTGTAGAGGTCCATTCATTCCTGCTGAAAGGACAGAACACAGCTGCTTTTCTATAACCTCCAGGAACTAGTTCAGGACCCCTGTGAGTAGCAAAATCACCCATTGCACATAACAGCACATTTGTATATAACCTACAGACAAGCTTCTGGGCACCAAAATTATTTCTATCTGTGCTATCTAATACAGCATAAATAGCATGCACATAGTTGTTTTATTATATTCCTTAGGGAATAATGAGAAAGGCCTGTATTTGGTTGGGACAGATGTAATTTGTTTTTTAAGATTCTCAGTCCGCATTGGTTGAGTCTGCTGATGTAGAACCCACAGATACCATTGCACAACTGTACCATAGAATGGGTAAATTATGAGCAATGGCTAATTTACTCTGCTCACACTGTTGTAATTTTAAAAAGCAGCACTCGAGAGAAAGACGCTATGCTGCACATCTTGGAGAGAGAGGTTTTTACTGGGGGAAAATGAGTGGGAAAGGGGGGAGGGGAGAACAGTCTCTGTGGACAGGAGAGGCAGAAGAGAAGAAAGAGGCAGAGAGGTGGGGGAAGGAGGAGGGAGGGAGGAGGGAGGGAGGGAGGAGGAGGGAGGAGGAGGGAGGGAGGAGAAGGAGAGACAGACAGGCAGGAAAGCAGAAGTGGGGGAGGTGGGCAGGGCCCTTTTAAAAGGGAACATAGTGAATGTGTACAGGTGGTACTCTCAGTGGCTGCAGCTGAGGGCGTATCCTGTCAGAACCCTAAGGACAGGCCAGTACAGATGCCTAAATACTAACACACACTTCTTGAGGTCAAAAAGTACAAGATCAAAGGGCCTTCACTGTCCAGCGATGTCAGGGAGCCTTAGAACCCAGCCCTGGAGATGACACTGAACTCAGAAGCAGCTCTGCACACCTCTGGCTCTTTCAGTAGTCACTCACTCCAGCTCCTGCCTAATGCAAAAAAAGTCCCAGGTCCCCTTCCTGCTCTCCATCCACCCTCTAAGGTGGTGCACACTGTGATCTCGGTGCTAAAGAGGCAAGAGGAGACCTGGACTGTGTTAAGAAAACCTGGAGGAGGGGGTGCAGATAATGCTTACAAGAGCAACACAATCCCCTTTGTATTCCAAATGTCCTTTGAACATTAAAACACATCCCCTCCCACTTCCGACAGCCTGGTTTCACAGGCTCTTGGGATATCAAAGTTGAATAAGTGCGTGAGTGCGTGCGTGAGTGTGTGTGTGTGTGTATGTGTGCACATTTTCTGCTTCTAGGACCCTGCCCACAGAGGCCAGCTTAACTAGCATCTGTCCACAGCCTGTGAAAGCCAACGTCTCAGGAGCAGACTGTCCTGAGAAGTCCTTCTATGCTATGGTTTGGACATGTCTGGGGAGGTCCCCAACCTTCATGTGCTGGAGGCAAGATGCTCAGGGTGGCAGTGGGAGATGGTGCCTGGGGACCCCAGCCTCTCTGGCTTCCTATTGTCACACTGCGACCCTACCCTTGGTATGAGTTCCCAACGTTGCACCTGCTTGGGAGGTGATGTGTTCAGGAAGTCCCTTACAAGAGCCAGTCTTTCAGTCTCTAAACCTTTATTTTAGAGTTAACCCATCTCGGATAATTTATTATAGCTATGAAATGCTGATGAATATATAAGAATGTTATTTATTTTCTCCTAAATTCCCAGCCATTCCCTATCAAGCATAGAAATATGTCCAAAATATGTCCTCCTTTGAAAATGAATGTAAGCCATAGAAAATATCCACTGCCCAGATTACAACACCAATACTATCACCCCACCCTACCCCAGTATGTACCCTTGGTAAGATATTCAAACTCCATGCCTCACTACCCTCATCTGTTAAAGCAGCTGTTCTCAATCTGTGGGTCCTGGCCCTTTGGGGGTCGCATACCAGATATTTACATTACAATTCATAACAGTAGTAAAACTAGAGTTATGAAGTAGCAAGGAAAATAATTTTATGGATGCGGTCAGCACGGCAGGAAGTGTATTAAGAGGTTGCCGCATCAGGAAGGTTGAGAACCACTGCTGTAAACACTCAGCCTACTAGCCTGGGAAATACAACCTACTTGCATTTGTTTCAGGACATTGAGCCCAGAGCCACACGTGTGTTCCTCTACGGAGCTACATCCCCAGCCAACCTACTGGAAGTGTAAGCAAATGAGTCCCCTTGCCCACAGTGTCACATGGTGTCATTTCACCTAATTGTAGGGGCAGTTAAGAACTCAAGGCAGGCACACACTAAGTCAGACAATGTACCATTTTATTCCTTATAAAATATATTTCATATCATTGCTGTAAAAACATTACATTTCATTTCACATTTAAAAAAAATCTTAACAGTAAAAATAATACTTGGAAGACAGCGGGGCTGGGGTGGGGGAGGGGGAGAAGCGCCAATGAGACAAATTCACGGATGGGATTCTTCTCCCTTCTTGTTTTGCTTTAACCTTTTTAAATTTTTTCTTTTTCTTTTTTCTCTTTTTTTTTCTTTTTTGCCCCTGGTAAAGTCAGACCTGGGGTGACCAGAAAGTAACACAACAGATTTTTTCCACAAAATCAGTTTCCATCTCTAATTTCACAGGGTCCTAAGGCGTCGAGCTATACACTCACTGTGACAAGGCAGCCATTGCTCGAAGCACTGTTCAGGGCCAGGTTAAAAGCCTTATCATTGATCCAAGCCTATGTTACCAGAGAGCCCTTTGGCTTTGTACCTGAGACGTTGGCTAGCCACAGACAGTACCTCTGAACTCACACCACAGTATTGATATGGTGCACGCTCGCTTGAGGGTGCTCCCAACGAGGTACCAAGTCTGAAGGTAACTCTGAGAGCGCTCTGAATGACGGAAACACGGCTAGACAGTTTCCCAAGGTAACTGCAAGCTAGGTCCTGTTGGTTTCAAAAGCATACCTGTGGTACCTTCACCCAGTCAGACTCCAAACCCACGGGGCTGGGAAGCAGGGAGATACAGAGATGACAGAGGTGGGCCTGATGGCTGGGTGTGCTCACAAGTCACCCTTGCCCTTCAAACCCAGGAACCAACACAAAAGCATCAAGATGAAGGGGGCGGGGTGCACAACAGCGGTTGGGAGGTCGTCACCGCCAGAAAAGAGAGGGAACAAATGGGGAGGCTGCACAGAAATGGAATAAAGAACTGAACTAAATTGAAACTCCTCAGTTTTCAAACCATCCCGTCAACTCCTTTTCTTCCCCCTCTTACTTTTCTGCCTGGCACGCCAATGGCATAGGAAGCCTGCTTCAAATGGAGAAAATCATTATAGTCAGTTACATCTGCAAGCTCCAAACCAAGGCTGGGATTACAAGGTCTCTGCTGAAGTGGAGGCTTAGTTCACACTGGATTATGAAGGGGAGAGGAGAGCTTCCTGGTGAGGTCTCTACATGTCCAGAAACTCTTTCTCTCTGTGTCTCTATATCCCCCCTCCTCTCGCCAGTAAGACTGGAAGCTGAGCATCATGGGAAGTAAGGAAAGAAGAGAAACTTCTGCTGCTGGCTCTTAATTATCTATGAGGTTGAAGGGGCAGGAGAGCCCAGGGTCGCCTCTGTCTGGCCTGGTTTGTTATAAAAATATCCCTCTACCAAAGAAACTAGTGTCTCTCCCCTCCATCAGCAGCCGGGCTACCACTATAACCTTCACCTCACACACACAATCTCTTAGGTTCTCGGGTTTTCGAACAGAACTTAGTGTGTCTCAGAATAAAAAGTAGACATGCGTTTCCCATGTAATGCCTCCAGTGGTCAAGAGGATGGTCTCTGTGACAACTAATGAGTCAATGCTGCTCAGGCCCTGGAGAGGTGGCCTGGTGGCACTCCCTGAGCCTATGATACCTGGGACTTCAGTAAGACAGCTGGGTCCTGGAAGTCATGTTTAGCAGGCACAGAGGCCAAGTCTGCTAGGATGTACCAGAGACCCCCGAGGGAAAGAAGTCTTCCTCATCAAAGAGTTCCACATCAGACAAGAAGAACAGACATTCTAGAGCTTGTGACACTCCGGAGGGAAGAGACCTCAGGGAGGTGGGAGCAAAGTTTCTGTGCAGACCCTCCACACTTCCTCTCAGAGCTGGAAGGATGCTCAGGGTAGTGTTTCAAGGACATGTTCTTAAACTAAATTCATATTAGCCTTTTGGCTCGGGATTTTTGGGGACAGGCTTTGAGAAGAAGCCACATAAAGTTTACTGGCATGCAACCCAACATCTGAGGGGACCCAGATCCAAAGGTTGCCAAGGTAAGAAGGTGTCTCTCTTCCAGCCCCAGAAGCTGCTCCAACAGAAGTGACACTGCATCTCACCAGGTACAGACCCCTGCCCTTCCCAGAGTCCTGCTACTGCCCCCTGGGTCATCCACCTGCCAGAAAGGTCTTGTTTCCTAAGAAAGGGAAATTCATTTTACTCACAGTCCATTCTGGAATAGCTAAAGGAGTAATGGATGCACCCGTTCAGCACAAAAACTGGGCAAGGCATCCTGGCCTACTTTTGATGCATACAAACTAGTTCCCAAGAGGGCGGGAGGGGGTAATTCTTTGGTCTCTGGTTCGCTGCAGAATACCCTTGGTCAATTTTGGCTCTCTCCTATTTTAGGGGGAAAAATATTTTCTTTTTTTAAAAAATAAAACACTCCCACAAGGGGGAGAAAGTGTTTTCTAAGTGTTAAATCTTAGCCAATGGAGCCCCGGCTGCCCACATGCACTCCACATCTCTCTGTGTTCTGCTGATGGCTGCAGGCTTGGAGGCCCCCTGGCTGCCGGGCAGGGCGAGGGGCGGGGCCGGGCGAGGGGCGGGGCCGGGCGAGGCGGGCTCAGTCCAGGAAGCGCTGGCAGGCCTTCTTCCACCGGCAGGCTGTGCACCACTGGTCCCGGTGCTCTATGCCGTACACCTTGCGGCACTTCTTGGCTTCTCCACGGGCTTTCCTGGCAAAGGATGAAATGAGGGTGGCATCATGCAGTGGAGGTTAGACCCAGGCAAACAAGCAGGAGCTGGGAGGGGTGGCTGCTGGCAGCAGTCACTAAAGGAAGAGAAGGCGGCCGGACCAGTGTGGCCTCCACCTGGGGACTAGCCCTGGAGACCATCACCAGTGTCGACACCGGGCAGAAACGCCAAGGCTAAGGGAGAGACGGCTCACCTGGAGCTGCTCTGAGCCCGGGGTGGGGAGGTGACAATCAGGTGAGACTTCACTGTGGATGGCGGCTGCTGGGGCTCACTGAAGCTGAGTGACCGACTCCGGACCTGGGTATGGGGAGTATAAGAACGTCTGTGAAGCCGGGCGTTGGTGGCGCACGCCTTTAATCCCAGCACTTGGGAGGCAGAGGCAGGTGGATCTCTGTGAGTTCGAGGCCAGCCTGGTCTACAAGAGCTAGTTCCAGGACAGCCTCCAAAGCCACAGAGAAACCCTGTCTCGAAAAACCAAAAAAAAGAACGTCTGTGAGCATGAGACCCCTCAGAACTGCGGGGCAACTCCCTGGGCTCTGCCACGCATGCCTCTCTGAGCCCCAGAGCAGGTGCTGGTGAAGGGGACGATGGATCTCCCCTAAAAGGACATTCTCAATAGATGGAGTTAGGTCAGGGCCAGAGACAGGAGCCACCCTCAAGGCTTTAGGGGACTTAGATGGAGTTACCATACAAGGGGCAAATGGAGGCATTGTATTGCTTTAGTGACACCTTCTGTCAACTAGGTTCTGTCATTTGTGACGCTTCTCTGTGGCAGACACTTGAAACTAGAGCCACCCATACGTGGTTCTAATGACTTCCAGTTTATGTCAGTTCAGAGTCAAGGGTACAAGTTCATGGTGGCCTGAGATTTCTGGTCCAGCCCACACAGCCTCCAAATGCTCCTCCTATGATCCTCCATCGAGCTCAACCATCTGACACACCCACATTGTCTCCCTTCCTTTCATCGAGGCCCTAGAACTCACTCTAACAAGCACCTCAGAGACTCACAGAGCAAGAGACTGAGTCTAGCCTTGCCCAGCACATTTCTAAGGGAGAAAACTGCTCCACCCTGACTCCCCCAGGTGTCCTCCTGCTGAGAGGAGCTGTAGCCGGACAGAGGAGGACACGAGGTGATCTTTATGAAGTATGGGGGCAACAGTAGCCATGTGCCGTGTACCAGTGACACAGGCCCCCAGCTTTGGGACTCACCGGAGAGAGGGGGGAGGTGGTGGTAGGGGCAGCAGCCCAGCTGATGCTGGTGTAGATGTGGGGAGAGACGGGGATCTGGAAGGATGGAAGAGCCTGCAGAGACAAGAGCATGTCAGCCTGTGCTCCAACTAAGTAAGGAAGCATCTGCCTCGGGTCCCAGTAACTTCCCATTTGCAGCAGAAGGCATATCTGCGCCTAGTCAAGAGCCTGGAAAACACCAAGACAGCTAGACAGGTTTTCCCATGAGCAGCCTCAAAGCCGTCTACCCATCATCAACACAGCCTCTTCCTTCCTGAGAGGCTGCACTCCTGCTTGGAACTGCTTAGGTGCCAGCCTCATGACTTCGTCCTCACAGGGTGTTATTCAGGGGCTGGGCCGCCTTTGGAGAACATGCTTAAGGCAAAAAGGTCAACTGAGTCTGAGGACTATTTCCAGAAAAGGACAGAGACCTGCCAGGCACCTCCTCAGGAGTAGGGATACAGGCAGGGATGTCTGGCTTAGGTCTAGCTCTAGTGGTACTGACCACTATGCCCAGATGCTACAGGGTCAGCTAAGGCTGACTCTTAACCAGACACAAACTAAGTGGTCACTAATTCTAATGAGGAGAGCCTGCTTATTTTGTAGTTTTTCTCACTGAAAGTACTGCTGGTTTGGTGTTGTTTTGTTTTGTTTGTTTGTTTGTTTTGGCCCTTACTATATAGTCCAGGCTGACCTTGACCCCCCCCCAGGTGCCAGCATTACAGGTAAGGACAAGCATACCTGGTTGGAAGCACTACTTTTTACTTACTAACCTGCAGACTGATCCAGCCTGCTCAAGTCAAACTATGAACACAGGAAAGGTTTTAAACCAGCATACAGGAATATGAACCTAGCTTGCAGGGTAAAGGTCAAACTGCCCACCTCAACATGACAACTTTCCCAAGCCCAGGAGAATAATGGAGTTGTTTCCTTTGGGCCTATGTCATGTCTTCCTGTGTCTCGAGGAAATGGTACTTGACAATTTATAATGAGTCCTAGCCCAATCCTCATTGCTAACCCTACCTCCACCATGCACTTTGTGAGAGCAGGGGTCGTGTCCTAGTCTAACTAGAAGGCTTACCTAACCCAATGCTGATACCTAGTAGGTGCTCAGAGAAGCACCATCCAATGTAACATGCTCCTCGGAGCTAAGGAAACCTGGGAAGCCCTACATGAACCTGTCGATTCTTCTAGCCAGTCTTGGAAGTGACAGCTCTCAGTTCACATCCTGACACATGGCTAGACTTCTTATCAGCCGAGTGTCACAGCATTTGTTGTTGCTGTTTTTGAGACGGGGTTTACATGTAGCTCACTCTAAACTCCCCATGTAGGCAAGGGTGACCCTGAACTCCTATTCCTCCTGTCTCCACCCCTGACTGGGATCACAGGTGTGTGCAACCCAGGGTCCTGCGCATGCTCAGTAAGCAACTCTACCAACTGGCCTACATCCCAGCCTTTCCTTTCCCTTCTCTGTGGAAGCAAGATTAGCAACTCAGCCAAAGGCTCAGTCTCAGTCAAGGTGCTCAGAGGCCTGTTGTCTGACAGCTAGTGCCACCGAGATCCCAGACTAAGCCCCCACATAGGCCTGTTTCAAACCTGGTATGCGTGGTCAGCCTGAATGTGCCAGAAGGAGCCAGGAGCTGACTTGCTGAGTGCAACTGAAGGCAGGGGAGACTCCAGGCCGGGGTGCTCTGGGCCCGAGGACTGGGCTTTGGGAGGAGGCAATGCAAGAGCAGCAAGGGACGGGCTGCTCACACGGGAGGCGGGGGCCGGCTCGCTGTTGGGCGCCCCAGGGGCAGGGGGGGCAGCCACAGCCAGAGCAGACTCTTCCTTGATCTGCATCTCTGTGTAGTAAAAGTCTTCCTCCCTCTTGAACTGATCAGGGTCCACGGTGTCCCTGTGTGGAGCAGACATTTGGCCATCATTGAGGACATGATGCCTTACTTTGAAGTCGTGGGGGGGGGGGTAGAAGGAGGAAGAAGTTGGGAGAAGTACCCAAGAGAACACCCAGGAGCGCTGCTCTCAGAGGCTATCAGAAGGGATTAGAACATGCCCACCCACGGAAGCTCTTCTTCCTGGCACGGACTCACACAACGGCAAACGTGTCTGAGCACAGTCCTGGTGCTGTCACAAGCCCTCTTGGGACCTGCCCCATCTACGACACGCTCTCGAGGCCTGTGAGGTAGTTCACACCAGAGGCGGTGGCCACCCTGAGGGTTCTGCACAGAGATGAGGCACTCCCCTGAGCATCAGAGCACGGATACAGACCTAACTCCCACACACAGAAGCAGATGTCCAGCCTGCTCGCTATGTCTAAGCCACAGCATCTCGCCGGCGATTAAACCAAACTGTTCCCTTTCTACTCAGAACTGAAACATCTTGCTCCCTACACCAGGTGGGAAGACACCACCATAAGACACACAGAGCTCACTCTCTGGCAGCAGCGTCAACGCCGACCACAATATAAAGAGCCTCCCTGCCCAGGGAAGGTGTCGTACATTCAGTGGTCAGGGAGGAGAACTGGACAGTGCCTGCAGCAAGCCATTTCACCAGAAGCCTCTGGGCTACGAGTCCTGTGGAGTTAGAAGGCTGGAGGTGCCTCAGGCAAGAGGCGCTGAGCGCTGGACCTACCCCAGGTGGAGGGCTTTGACATGTCGCTTGATGCCCACGACTGAACGCAGAACTTTGCCACAGCTGGGCCACAGGCACTTGTACATCACCTTCACAGAGTTCTAGGGGAAAAAGAGGTCTTAGCGACTGGTGTGTGGGAATCCTCTCCCCAGCCTCCCTCGTCATCTGATGAGGACTTCAGCTGGTTGCCATCCTCAGGCAGACCCAAAAGAAAAACCTCTAGGAAGGGACTCCCAGAGAGCAGAGAAACATGCCCAAAAGAACCTGAGGGGTGACCTGGTGGCCATAGTTTTATATATATATATATATATATATATATATATATATATATATATATAAAAAAACGAAAAAATAGTGGCACACACTTGTGCTATCAAAGAGAGGCAGAGCCAGTAGATCCTGAATTCACTGACTGCCCAGCCTAGCCTATTTGGCAAGCTCCAGACCACTGAAAGAGCCTATCTCCAAAACTAAGACGGGGTGAGGTGGGAGAGATGAACAGCACCTCAAGATAATACCTGAGGTTGACCTCTGACCCCATGTGCATGCACACCCACAAACATACACACCCCCAAAAAACAAAAAGAGCCAGGTGGTGGTGGCGCACACACTTGGGAGGCAGAGGCAGGCGGATCTCTGTGAGTTCAAGACCAGCCTGGTCTACAAGAGCTAGTTCCAGGACAGGCTCCAAAGCCACACAGAGAAATCCTGTCTCAAAAAAAACAAACAAAAAAAGAAAAGGAACCAGCCTCAGGTTAGGATTTCATAACAAGTGCAACAAAGGAAGACCAGAAACGCCCAGGACCTGGGGCGCCCCTGCCCCTCTGGGGATGGCTGTCCCCATGAGCTCGCCAATCGCCACCTACCTTCCTCTTGCGTGGGGCTGGTTCATCCAACAGGAACGGGTCAGAATCAGTCTCAAAGCCATGATCAGTTTGGGGGGACCCGAAGGCGTCTCCCAGGTACTTGGGGCTGGCCTGGGGGTGGGGCGGCGAAGGGGTGGAGATGCCACTGCCCCCACTCCAGTGCCCACTGGTAGTGCTACTGCCGCTGTCTGACACGTCACCACTCTCCTTCCACGGGTCACCACAAGCTGCACGGGAAACTGGCCAGAGAGAGAGGCAACAGAATACTCAGGGGGCTTATCCCCAGGAACAAAGGGAAAAAAAGGAGTAAATGACAAAAACTAAAATATCACTAAAAATTTAATTATTAAAGAAACTTCTCCCTGAGACACAAGATTGAGGGCAGTTGCAAATACTACGGCAATCTTTGATGTTATAATCGCTCTGCCTGGTGGACATTTTCTGCCCCATGGGTCATCACTGATCACCACAAGCACACTGCAACTATCTTTCATCGAAGATTAATAAAAAGAATGCGGTTAAAAACTGGTGTTCACACTGTACACGCTAACAAGGAAGAGCCTTTCTTAGTTCCAGCCTGGCTGAGGGCATCCACATAGTGGTAGCAACATGTGGAATTTAGCAAATTCTTGATGAATTTCCTTAAAAAAAAATGCTTTTCAACCATTTCAACTTGGACAAGTGCAGGATGGTCTGTGAGCGCAAAGAAATGTGTCAGAGCTTTCAGAGGCCCTGGTGTCTGGCCTGTCACTGCAGTGGCCACCTGCCCCTTCCAATTCAGACGTCTAAGAAGGAAGAATACAGGTAACAAATGGGATTTTTATGCTTAGTTTTTCTTTGATTGCTGGGGCCTTGCTCATACGAGGCAAGCACTCTGGTACTGAGTGAAACCCCAAGCCTAGATTTTTTTTTTTTACTTTTTGATTGATTTGTCTGTAGGCTGCTTCATGCTCAAGCTGGACTCTCTCATGCCCGCCTTCAAATCCAAGTGAATTGATCGCATAAGATGATCTGAAAGCCTAATACATGGGAACAGCAAGAGAGATAGAAAAAACTTACGCTCCCCAAAGCCCAAGCTCCCTCTCTGGATACACAGTCTCCTGCCCCTAGGCTTGATGAGACACTGCCATACCCTAAGTGTCAGGGCAGATCTGAAGGCTGGGCCAACTCCGAGGTCCCATGTTTCCAAACAAGGCTCTCTTTACTTCTCAGAGACTCCTCCCCAAACAGATGCTGGATAAAGAATGCCTCCTGGCCGGGCGTTGGTGGCGCACGCCTTTAATCCCAGCACTCGGGAGGCAGAGGCAGGCAGATCTCTGTGAGTTCGAGGCCAGGCTGGACTGATAGCCTCCAAAACAATACAGAGAAACCCTGTCTCATAAAAACCAAAAAAAAAAAAAAAAAAAAAAGAATGCCTCCTACCCAGATACCCCCTGTGTAGTCTTAAAACTCTCATCACTTGCTCTTCCTGGAAACTGAGAAAGTACCATAGCTACACAGAGTGCAAAACAATAGATGTTTAGGGCAGAACTCAAGAAGCATCCAAAGCAACTGATCATGGACCAATGAGATGAGCCCAAGAGGGAACTCCAGCCATGTTTTCCCCGATTCAGCGCCTTTCCTGAATCTGCTGACTCAACTGCCTGGGCTTTTTAGACTTCTTGAGAATTTGGCATCCTTCCTCTCTGCCTTCTTTGTGCACATTAAAGCAGGCTGCACTGATGGAATTTACCACTAGATGTCCCCAAGTGCAGTGACAGCCTCTGGGTGGAATAATTAAATTTGCTTTCAATCAAACACTACTTATGAGAGACACTTACCTGCAAAGGCCACTTTCATCTCAGTATGAGCTAGAACTAGCTCCATATTCTCCTACAAACTTTAAATAGCTTTTAGGACTGACAGATAAGGAATTGCCACTAAAATAACTGAAGTCACGACCAGTCTTGCCAAAAGACTTGCAATCCTTCTCTAATGCTGCCCTCCCAGGTACTGGTAAATCATCTGGGGATTATAACCAGAAGAGTTCTTTGGCATCTATAAATCTGAAGTCATATTATGAGGGGCTTTTTTTTTATTACAGTGTCAGAGAGAGAGAGAGAGAGAGAGAGAGAGAGAGAGAGAGAGAGAGAGAGAGAGAGTTGTCATGATGCATAAGTGGAGGTCAGAGGACAACCTAAGGGAGTTACTTGTTTTCTTCCACCACGTGGGTCCCGGGAACCAAACACAGGCTGTGAGGCTCAGCAGCAAGCACCGACACCTCGTCTTTCCAATCTTTTCAATGGTCCGTTCTATTGGTTTGTAAAAAGCAACCAGCTTTGAGACTTCAGCTCAGGTATTTGGCCTGCAAGCCCACACTAATTTATGAGGCTGAGTTAGAAGTTAAGCATTGATTAACAGGAAGCCACTAGTGGACCGGCAAGCGTAGTTCTGCTTTTGTGAACTAAATAAATGTTCCTGGAGGCCCTGTCCAGGCTCCTACAGAACTTAGAACTTGCTTGAGCGGCCATCTTGGCTGAGTGCTGAGTTCAAGCACTGTCCCGAAGCACCAAGGGGGTTTCTGCTCAGATGAGGAAACTGAGCTCCTGATCGACTGCCCTGAGAGCCTCCAGAACCCTATAGCCAAGCTGACCCTGGAAAGAGCATCAGTTGTGGGTTTCTGCCATGCCAGGAACCAGCCCAACCCCACTTGCTCACCAGAGAAGATGGGCTCAGTCCCAGGAGGACTCTGCACGACAGGACTGCAGGACAGAGACGTCAGCACCATGGCGGCCATCATCTCATCCATCTCCACTGCATCCGACTTCCTGGATTCAAATGAGCGGGGACTGTGCTTACTTCCTGGGCCTGGTTGGTCCACAAAGCCCACAGATTAAGCTACCACATCTGCTTACTTTCATGGGATCACCTTACACTGCTATGCTGTCCCCTCAGAGCCGCCCCCTCCCCCAGCAACCAGCCCAATGGAAACTAAAGCAACAATCCCCGAAAAGTGCTTGTTCTGGGTGGTGTTTCAATCAGCCCAGGATGAGCGGGTGGGGCACCTGCTTAAACTGGGGCCAACACCCGAGACAGTGCCGTTCTCCTCAAACTCTCCTTCTAACTCTACAACTTAAAATGGAGCATTTTATTTGGGGATGGAGAGAAGAGTCACATGATAAGATGAAGCATGGGGATAAATGGAGCCCACTGGAATCTAAACCCTAAAATCACCTCCTTCCCCCTGCCTTACATTCAAATTTAAGAGGAGACAATTACACTAATGGGTTTTTCTCTCCCCTCTGCCAAAATAAACACAGCATTCTGTTAGCTTCTGAATGTCAACAGAACCTATTACATAAGCCAGTGAGCAAACAAACCAGGATAGAATAAATAACCAGATGACACCATCTCCCACTGTTAAGCTCCATTCTTTAAACAGGCTGCCTAGAATTTTACATGTGCTTTCCCCCTCTCCTTTAAATCCATACAGTTATGAGGTTTGGAAGTAAAATAAACACTATCTGATATCTAAAGTATTTAAGGGAAATTAGAATGTAGCAAACCGCCAGCGACTAGCCAATTTCAAAGGACTATATTCACCAATTATTTACACACCAGGTCTACCAAACTGTGCAACTGGGTTTGAAGCAGACAGAGCAAAGCCATCAACATATTAAACATTGCACGATCTTTGTGTTTTCACTTCCACAGAAGAGAAAATTAAGTTCTTTGCTGGTCTTCCACTGAATACACGATCAGAAATGCTGCTCCTCTAGTCTTAAAACACTGGGTCTGCTGGGCCAGCAAGATGGCTCAGTGGGTAAAAATGCTTGCTGCCAAGGTTGATGAGCTGAGTTCAGTACACAGTACCCACGGAGTGGGAGACAACCAGCTCCTGAAAGTCGCCCTCATCACAGGGGCAGCAGAGCATGCACACATAACCCATACATAGTCCATAAATGAATGTAATCTAAAACCTGTTAAGCCACCTGGTCTACCAACAGCCCCCATACCCACAGACGAGGGTGGAATAGAGTTTAGTTTTTTGTATATCTTGCATGCAAACTCATCTCAGCTGGCCATGCCTCTTGTTTCTCACTTTTATTTATTGTTATGTTTGTGCACGCTGTGTGAGCATCAGTGCCCTTGCGCCACAGCACCCATGTGGAGGTCAGAACAGCTCTGTGGAGTAGGCTCCTCTTTCCACCTTTGCATGAGTTCCAGGCATTGAACTCGGGTTGTTGGGCTTGCACAGACAGGCTTGGCTTAGACACAATGAGCCTTCTCCCTGCCCCAGATTTTCCTTTTAAATCTTAAAAGAACAATCTAGACAGACCATAAGATGCACAGCAGGATCTAGGATCCCAAGATGACATCATATCATTAAGTCCCAAAGCAGAATATCCATTCTTTACTCAAAGGTTCTTAGCACCCAAGTGAAGAATCAGACCAACTTGCCCAGACACAGGCTGCTGCCTGCCTGACCAGTTCTGAGCCAAGAAAGGATGGCTTTACCTTTTTAAATGCCATTTCAGAATCAAAAGCATTTTACTTCTTGACATATGATACATATAAACGATAGTAAATCACAGTAAAGTTTGAGGACCCTGATTAGTTTTCATTGATGCACAGCGTGCGTACAGGCTTTTACTTCTATGGCTGCTGCACCAAGTAGCAATGACGGAGTCTGGTTGGCCCACAAGGCTGAAATCATTTCTCTCCGCCCTGTATGGAATCCGGCTGACACTCTGTCTCATCTGTTCCTGTCTCTTCTCACAAAAAAATTCTGAGCTGAGTTTAAACCTTCACCAAACCAAATAGATGTAACCCCTAAGAGAGTTTTGGAGAAAAAAGGATGTTGCCTAGGCGTTCTTAAAAGGATGCCTCTTCTATATCTAGCTTTGCTATCCCAGCAAGTAGGTACCCAAGACTCCCACCATGTCCCAGCCCATATCTATAACCCTCACCACTCCTACAAACCTCTTGGGAACATCGATGTTCCTAGACACGGGTCTGTAGGCCGGCACCTGGGGTGTGGTCCCCTGCAGCTCCGCCAGGCACACCTCTTCTACTTTACAGCAAATTTGTAACTTCTGGTCCAGCAGCCGGACTGTCACCTTGTCCTCAGCCCAGCTGTGCTGCTCCACCAGGCCCTTGCACTCCTGACCCCCATACCACACACAGACCTGCGGGGGAATGACAGCCAATGGTCAACACTCAGGCGTTCCCACGCCAAAGCCCTTAGAGATCTCGGTTCTGGGTATCAGGCTGTCTGCTGCAGTCTGTGCTTTGATACGCTCATCTTTAATTGGTCCATACCAAGATCTGGTCCCATGTTAGACACGTAACCCCCAGGAAGTGGGGTCTAGGATGAGTGAGCATGTCATGAGAACTGCAGCTCTCTCAAATGGCAGGTCGTAACAGTAGAGAATTATCCAGAGAGTGGGGTAGGCAGGGAGAGTGTGAATTGTTATAAAAGTGGGTGCAGCTCCTCCCATTCTCCTGTCCTTATTCTCCTCTCGGACTTCCCAGTCTCCAGAAGTTTGAGCTGAATAAACTACTGTCTATACATTTTTCCCACCTTGGGTATTCCCTTACAGCAGCCTAAACAGGCCAGAAGGAAGCAGGCATTTCCAGGCACCTGCTGCCCACCCAAGCACTTGGGCTAGCCACACAGGATCAAATCTTCCCCTACAGCTTCTCTACACACTTTCCATCCTAGAAGCCAGCAACCGGGGCTTCTCTGAGCCTCAAACCTATACTCATCCTTCAGGTACTCTTGCCCCCTCCTTGCCTCTGAACTGGTAAACACCTCTTACTCAATGTTTTCCTTCTGGAGAGTCCTAAGTCCCGTTCTCCTCAGCATGTACTGGAAAGGGAGAGGGTAGACCGCTCTCTCATCAGGGTACCTGGAAGCTGGAAGGCCACCTTGTCTCAGGAGGACAAAGGTCTGGGGGCGCCAAGCCTCATGGGAAGGCAAAGGCCAACTCATTCTAGATGGATGCTGGAGAAGGCAATGGCAGGAGCCCCACGCATCTGGACCTAGTGATAAATCAGGCTAGGCAACCCTGGGCGCAGCCACGGCAAGGGGACGCAAGGAAAGCAGGAACTGTTCCCATCGGATTTGGACCACGCCTCCACCTGCAGCTTCTGCAATCTGTTCTCCAGAGTCTATCGCCTAGGGTCTTTCTCTTGTTGCCTACAGTGCTGAAGTGGGACAGACAAAGAGCCACTGAGCTGAGGCCACGCTGTGAGCTGGGCCTCTGAGCATCCCACAGTGCCTGGTCACTTTCTCCTCCACACGACAGTCATGAAGATGCCCTGGTCTGAAATGACAGTACATCCTCTGCCTAGGGCCCCAGTGTGTAAGACTTCCAGTCTACCGCTTAGGAACTGACAGTCTGCCAATCCCAACACTCAAGAGACAGGGTCCGCATCCATGTTAGGATCAACCTACCTTCTGCCCAGGCTGAAAGGCCACCTGTGGGTGGCCTGAGGTACCCAGAGCCTTGAGGACTTCCTTGGGCTGCTCCTGGCACACAGGGTCCTTAGAGGTGTGTAAGGGCTGGGGCGTGGCTCCTTCAGGCACTTGTATCTGTGGCTCCAAAGGCAAGCTGGTCCCTAGTGGCACCTCAGAGGCACTAGGTCCCAGTACCCGGGCTCCCAAGAGGGAGCGCTTACCAAGGCGTCGGGACAGCATGCTGGATACTCTGCTTTGCTGAGGAGACAAAAGTGGCAGTGAGTAAATTCTCTCTCTCTCTCTCTCTCTCTCTCTCTCTCTCTCTCTCTCTCTCTCTCTCTCTCTCTCTCTCTCACACACACACACACACACATACACACTAATTTCTGTGTGAAAATCAGAGAACAATTTGAAGGAGTCAGTTCTCTCTCTTGCAAGGACAAACTCAGGATATCGGGCTTGCAGGCAAGCTGCTATACCTGTTGAGCCACCCTGCCGGCTCTTATCTTTTCTTTATACAAAAAAATGAATACCTAATCCTAGGAGATCATGTAAAAAGTATTGATAAACTCAAAGAAAATAAAATCACTTGTGAACCTGCTTCCCCAAAGCACACCCACTCCTCCCTGCTTCTGTTTCCTTATTTTTATTTTGTTTTTTAAGACTCCTGTTTCATGTAGCTCAGGCTGAAACTTCCTATGCAGCTGAGGATGACCTTGAACTTCCGATCCTCCGGCCCCCACCTTTTCACCACCGCGCCCGTGTTCTGTGGTGCTCAGGACAAACCGAGGGCTCCATGCACGCTAGGCACCGCCTGAGCCACATCCCCAGCCTGATGCCCCCTCCCTTTTTATATTAAAGCATGCCACTCCTCCTGTAACTGTAACTGTGCATACTCCCTGTTCGTGCTTTGCCTTGTTGTTGAGACAAGTTCTCGTCAGGTGCCTATGGCTGGCCTGGAACTTATGTAAGTCAGTAAGCTGGCCTTGACCTCCTGCCTGCATCCTACAAACCAGGATCACAAGTAGGGCCGGCTTCGCCTAGCGTTGGTTTTCACTCAATAAGACTGCTAAGTTTTCCTACGTCACTGAGTGGTGATCTACAAAAACAGCCGCCAGTACTTTCCAGGCAGGTGTAACAAATTCCCCCATTATTTCCCAGAAGGCCGAGACCCGTGTCTCAGCTACTCCACGTTCATCAGGCATCCCCTGAGACAGGCCCCCTCCCCACCCCTACCACACACACAGCCACCATTGCTTCCTTGGTGAGCTTCCTTCACATGATACCGCCAGGTCAACACGGAGGACTTCTGTTAGGTTCAGACTTCCAAGCTGGTTGGCTTCAAAGCTTCAGACAACTTTGGAAACCCACCAGAACTGGAGAGGTAGCTCAGTGCTTAAAAGCACCAGCTTCTCTTCCAGAAGACAATGTCTGGTTCCAGTATAACAACCATAACTCCAGTTCCGGGGAATCCAGTGCCCTATTTCTGGCCTCTGCCAGCACCAAACGGTGCACAGACAGACACACACGCAAGCAAAGCACTTGTATGCACAAAGTAAAAATAATATATCATCAAACGGATAGACAAAGACTAGCCCCTGCCAACTCACACGGCCTCCTCCTCCCAGCCACCCTGTGCCTCTCAACCCCTCTGGGTCTCCACCTGAACTTCTGATCTCTGCCATTCAAGGTCTATTTGTTCATTCATTGGTACCCAGCTGAAGACTAGCTATGCATGAAGCATATTAAAAGTATGGTGAGCTGGGGTGGGCGCTGAAACTCCAGGGTTTTCAGGACCTTGATTCCAACAGCTGCTTCCTCAGCCCCGGACACCATGAGACTAATTGCACACAGGCTAAATGTTTCAAAAAGGTGTTCCAGAACATTCCTCCTCCTCCTCTCCCTCCCCTTCCCCTTCCCCATCCTTCCCAATCCATAACCAGAAGCCTATCAGGGCCATCGGGATAACTCAGTGGATAAAGTCATTTTCTACCAATGACCTGAGTTCAATCTGTAAGACCCACAAGGCAGAGGACAAAGGCCTACAAGCCTTTGTCCTCTGACACACACTCACACACACACACTCACACACACACAGAGTGGTGAACTCTGTCTCATAGCACTAAATACCCTTTAAATACTTGTTCACATCAACTGTCTTTGAACAGGTCCATAAGCCTTGATTTTCTGCCGTGGTGGAAAAGTAGCTCAGGGCTGATTTGTCTGGGTCCCCTGTTGCAGCCTCACCCCGACATCCTTGCTTCTTTTCCCAACTAGCCAGGCAAGTTCTATTAGCAACCATGTCTACAACCACCAACCAAGCCAGGAAAAAGTAGCTATAAAAGACGAGGCAGACAGAGCGTAAGAGCCAGAGGGGACGGAGGACACCAAGGAAACAAGGTCCTCCAAAGCCACAGGGTCAGGGCTCACAGGGACTGAGCAGCATGCACAGGGCCCTCCTGCACAAGTCTGCACCAGGTCCTCTGCACATATATTACGGCTTCCCATTTAGTGTTTTTCACAGGATTCTCGAGTGTTTGAACAAGTGGGTCTCTGACTCTCATGCCTTCTCTTGGGCTCTTTTCCTTCAACTTCAATGTGATAGAAAATCAGTTTTCTCCAGTGGAGTGACAGTGGGTATATCAACTACTCCAGAGCAGCCTCGTGTTCAAGGGTAGTGACCAACATAAAACGAACTCCTTAATTTGAGTTTTTTTTTGTTAGTGTTTTGGTTTTTTATGCTTTCATTTAATTTTTTTCTGTTTTGATGTTGTTTTGTTTTCTTGGTTTGGAGGCGTTGTTTTGTTGGAATTTATTTTAGAAAGAACTTTAAGTTGGGTTGGTAAGGAAGGGAGGAGGGGCTGGAGGGACTTGAAGGAGGGAAGAATATAATGAAGCATTTCAATTTAAAAATTGTTTTAAATGATAAAAATATAATAAAAGCTGGGCAGTGGTGGCACATGCCTTTAATCCCAGCACTCGGGAGGCAGAAGCAGGAGGACCTCTGTGAGTTCGAGACCAGCCTGGTCTACAAGAGCGAGTTTCAGGACAGCCTCCAAAGTTACAGAGAAAGCCAACAACAACAACAAGATAATTATTTAAAAGTGCCAGGTAGGCGGTGGTGGCACGCACCTTTAATCCAAGCACTCAGGAGGCAGTGAGTTTGAGGTCAGCCTGATCTACGGAGAGTTCCAGGACAGCCAGAGTTGTTATACAGAGAAATCCTGTCACTGGGAGAAAAAAAAAGATGAAAAAAAAGGGAAAAAGTGGCAAGCACCAATGGAAGTGGAAAGGCTGGTTCTAGAAGCCCCCTCTGGAAGGCTGTAATCTGATATCTTGGCAGCTCATCCAGGAGTCCCCAAGAAACAAAGCCAAGGTGTGGCATGCAGAGTCCCCGGGTTAGGTGGCTGTTAGGGGCTCTCATATTGGAGTCGGTCTTTGTGACTACAATTTAAAAAAAGGAAATGTATCCCAGATAAATGGCTTTTAAACTGCAGTCGCTGGGCCAGGTAGATAGCTCAGTGCAGAGTACATGCCTGGTGTAATAAGGCCCTGGGTTCAATCCCAGTCCCAGGAGAGACTGGAGCAAAAGCAAAGGGGAACTAGAGTGTAATACCACTTACCGACAACAGGTGGAAGCACCAATACAGAGAAACCACCAGCTCTTTTCTTGGCAAAAATATAAAATAAAAAACTAAAAAAAAAAAAAAAAAAAAAACAGGAGCCAACACACACATACACACACACACACACACACACACACACACACACTTACTTTCCTGAGCCGGAAGTTTGGGGTTTCCAGTACTGAAAATGAAGACAGGGGTGTTTCCAAACCTCCTCGGTTCCCAGTCTTCAGAAAGAACCTGAGATGTTTGGGCAACAAACTCTGATGATGTTTTTGGAAGCCTGTCTTCTTTTTAAAAGAATGCTCTTCTGTTGGTTGGTGAAGCCTGCACCTTCCAGAAGCCGGAGGGATCTCCACAAATAGGCAAGTGGCCTGCTCCTGGCCCGCTTCCACAGGCTGGCTGCCTTCTCCAAAGATCCACTCAAAAACAGGCATTATGCTGCCAGGATTCAGAAGTAATGAGCCACTAACAACAGAAGTTGGCTGGAAAGATGGGTAGAGGGGCAAGGTCACACCTACTTCGTCGGTGCTAGCTGGTCACCCAGCATAGAGGATCACACCCTTCTCCCTAGCATGCACGCACCCCACCCCCCACTGGCCTCCTTCAGGTCCCTCTTCCCCAACCTCTGTCTGCATCCATCTACTGCTCCCTGAACGCTTTACTGAATGTCACTGACGGTCCCTGGACCAGCTATTCCTCGCTTTGCCATGTGGTTCTATAACAGCAGAGAAAAATGGAGAAACCTGTATTGAGAGTAATGTGTGACCAAACGCTGCTTTCTGGTTTTACATTCTCCACTTGCAGAATTCCTCCTGGGGCATAAACTCATGCCAAAGTGGTCTCAGAACCTAAGTAAGGGGGACCTGGAACCCCAAGTGCTGTCACCAACAGGAAAAGGATGGCTTATGTACTTTGGTCAATGTCCAGAGACGGCTAGCACTCGTCTTTTAATGCGGACATCTGCCATACGTTAGCTGGACCTGACAGAATAATAAAACAAACTCCACGGTTCAGAGTCGCAAACCGCCATTCATCTCCCGATGGCTGCGGGGCCACAGCAAGCCTCACTCAGCAAGTGCGCAGGGCTGCACACAATGGCTGCGCCTCTCACTACCCAGGGGCTTCGCAGCATGCCATGACATCACCTGCCCGCACTTCTAGGACACAGGTCATAAGCCAGTGGCTTATTACACAACTCATGGGTCTTCTGTCTAAGTTGAGGAGGGTGCAGTTTGGAGCGAGGCTAATTGCAAAAGGCCTGGTGTTCACTACGTCATTGTCATCGCTGACAAGTAAGTCAAAGTGAAGATATGAAGCTTAAGCTAAGCCCCAGATCTGACAGCCAGCGCATATACAGGAACCTAAGTTTTTATCCCGTATGCTATCCTCATCCTTACTAGAGAACTACCAGGGGTTCAGTTCTTTTCTTTCCTTTAAATCTTTAATGTTTTCCAATGTGACGTTCTAAATTCAACCAGAGGTTATCAGGAAACCATGTCTCTTATTTTCAGCAGCTCTCCACGGGGATCTATCCCCAATAATGACTACCTAGTATCTCAGCTGATAGGTGGCGTGAGCACCTGTGTGTTACAGTGATCGTGAGCAAATACATTCGGGATCATTCCGGTT